TTTTATGATTATGACATATCATCCTAACAACGAAGGTTAAATCTTAAATTCAAAATAATTATAAAATCATAATATAGATATACAAACAAAAATAATATTTAAAGGCTTAATTGTGAATTAAACCAACATTAATTTACGTGGCATAGTGAAAAGGATTGCATACATGTTCGTTCCACCTCTGCGTTCTAAAATTCCATGGGTCAGAGAGCGTGGAAGCGCAACCAGACGACGCGTGTACCCAGCGGCTTTAAGGGTCAGGACCCCGAACCATCTGGAAGATTTCCAAATCTCCGCGAAACAGAATCTATTTAATTTTGCAACTGTCATCTTTTAACTTGTAACTCTCGCTCTCTGTTTCTTCGAATAAGCCACATTCCGATTCAACAATTCCCCAGCAACGTTTCAGGTTTCTCGAAGATGAAAATTGGATGCCCGTTGTCTTTTGCTTTCATTTCAACGCTGTTAATTTTACACGGTGAAGCCAAAACTCTTGATCCTTACAAGGTAAGGAAGAGTGATTTCTGCTTTCTGTTTGTTTTGCATTCCGTTCTTGCTATAGTTTTTTGCTTAGATTTTCTGGGCGGTTATAGATTTATTAATTGAAAGAATCGTATTCTTGCTATTTTTTTATCTGCTCTTGATCTTTATTTTGAGTGCTTTAATGGAAAATTCTGAAACCTAATATGCATTCTTGAAATTTCAACGAGGATATCTTTGTATAGATATAGAAAGAACTTATTTTCTGTTAGAAAGAGCTTCAGCTCTTTGATTACTGGAAAATTAAAGTAGTTTCTAATGAATCGACTTGATCCGCAGGTTCTTGGTGTGGAGAAAAACGCCAGTCAAAGAGACATTCAAAAGGCTTTCCACAAGTACGTTTTACTTTAAATTTATTAACTATTATTAATTGTCTTCTAGGTTATAAATTAGTCCTTTATTCTTTTTCTGTCTCCAGGATAATGTACATTACTTGATTGATTAATATTCAATTTGTGGCATTACCTTTTCGCTGTATTCTTCAATTTCATCTGTACTTCTTTCAATATAAGATAGCTTTAGTCGTTTAATGCCAAGACTTGTGCTGATTCTTCCGAACATGAATGCTTATGCATATTCAATCATATAATTCCTACAAACATGCATTCATTTTGTAATCGATTTTTCTTAATTGTAATTTATTAGGCTTTCCCTCCAGTACCACGCCGACAAGAACAAAAGTAAAAGCGCGCAAGAGAAGTTTTCTGAGATCAACAACGGTAAAAATGAACTTCTTACTATATTAATCAATCTTTGGCCTACATGGTTTCTAAATGATATTGCACAGATTAGAAAATTATTAAACTTATGAATAAAAGAATGGATTTTGTTGTTGGACCTTTGAATTTTCGCCACTACTTTTGTCTGCTATCAGGAGAATTGATTCATCCTTCTTGTTTGATCAGCGTATGACATTTTATCGGATGATCAGAAGAGAAAAAATTATGATATGTATGGTGATGAAAAAGGTGCCCCAGGATTTGATGCTGGGAACCTGGGAATCATGGTGGACATACTTTCTTCACTAGCGGTGGACCTGGACAAAGTGGGTTTACATCAGGACCAGGTGCATGGCAGCACATGGGAGGGCAGGGAAGTTCCCAGAGTTTCTCATTTTCCTTCAGTGGCCCTGGTGGATCTCGCTCATTTAGCAGCCATGGTGGTGGACCAGGTTCCTTCGGTTTTGATGTTGACGACATTTTCTCAGGGTTCTTTGGGGGTGGTATGAAAGATCAATTTGGCGGTTTCGGAAGTTCGAGCAGGTCTCAATATCAATCTGGGGGTTCATCTCAGTCTCAATCTAGGAGTTCACCTAAGAGCATTAGAGCAATAAATTCTGAGATCTTCAGGAAAGAGATAGCCGACCAAGGGATGACTTGGGTTTTGTTATTTTATACATCTTCGTTGCAGGGGAAACAATATTTTGAATCTATCATGGATGAGGTGGCCAGTTTATTTCCAGGAGCAATAAAGGTACTGTTGCTTTTGTAATTTTTTTGCCTGTAATTCGTATTTTTTGCTAACCAGTGCTTCCATTAGCTCACCTTTCTTTATGCCTTTTGTTAGATTGGGAGCATAAATTGTGAAACTGAGTTGTCTTTATGTAAAGAACTGGCTGCACGTCCTGGGAGAGCTCCAAGGTTGTTTGTTTACTCGTACAAAGGAAGTGAGAAGGGTTATCTTGAAGAATACAAGGGTGATTTAACGGCTAAGAATGTCAAATCATTTTGCCAAGATCATTTACGTAGGTTTTCAAAAAGGATAAGCCTAAAGCATTTTGACTTGTCTTCTAGTAATGCAGAAAATCACCTCAAGGTGATGCTTCTTTCTACCAAAAAGGATACACCAGTGATCTGGCGTGTTCTCAGTGGCTTGTATCACAAAAGATTCACTTTCTACGATGTGGAGGTATGGTTCCAAGATCTTATTGTTTGGAATTTTTTCTTACAAGGAAGTACGGTTCTTTTAAATCCTATATGAACTAGAAGCAAATCTAGCCTATGAAATTCTGTGCTTGTGAAAAGATAAGGAGTTGTACAAAGTCACAGACTTCAGAAATTTAGAGAAGTAATTTCTATTTAATTGATTTCTTAAGTCCTGACGCGTTCATTATTTATGTAGGTTCACGATGTTTCTGATCCGGTTGTGAAAAAGTTAGGTGTTGATGAACTTCCTGCTATAATTGGGTGGCTGTCCAATGGAGAGAAGCATATTTTGAAATCTGGTATTTCTGTAAAGGATTTGAAGTCTGCCATCAAAGATCTCAGTTCGATACTTGATAATTTTGAGAAGAAGAATAAGAAGGTAGCTTCATCTCAGACTAGAGAAAAACAGAGGGATTCCAAGGAGGGACAGTTACCTTTGTTGACAGCATCGAACTTTGATGCTCTTTGTGGGGATAAAGCTCCTGTCTGTACTATTGGTGCATTTCGATCGACCAAAGCTAGGGATAAGCTAGAGTCCCTTTTATCTAAGGTGAGAAAAATTCCTCCCTTCAAAGAAATACATATAAAGGTGCAAGAGAAATGTAATGGTTAATCATGTAGACATACCTATGTTTAGTTTTCTCACTGTCGCATGATATGTACTTTCAGGTTTCTCAGAAATCCCTATCAAGGAGGCAGTATGCGGCATCTGGTTCCAGGGATTCTGTATCCTATGTCCTCTTAGATGCTACCAAGCAAGAATCATTTTTAGGTGCATTCGACAAATCTGGATTTAAATCAATGGATAATCTCCTGGTGGTGTACAAACCTCGGAAGGGGAAGTTTGCTGCATTTACGGGTGACATGAGCATCGAAGAGGTAGAGAAGTTCGTTAGTGCCGTTCTTAACGGAGATGTACAATTCACCAAGACAAGGCAGAAGCCAGTTCTCAAGTGAACCAGTCGATCAATGTGAATTCAGTTCTGATTTCCGAACACCATGTACAGTGTAAAGATTTCACACCTACACTATGCGTACACCATGGCTCCAAATGCCCACCTTGAGTGGGGTGTTCTTTCCATCATACACGATCTATGAGTTTGAAACATCTTGCATAATGCAAGGGGTGTTCACTCACATGGGACATTTTTGTCGCATTCTTGTAGAGTAATTTATCTTTTAACATGCTATTGTACCCTGCCAATAACACATTACAGTAAGGAAAAAGAAATCAAGATTTTAAGGACTATTCAGAACACTTGACATGGAGAAGGAAAACAAGTGATTGTAGTTGTACTTTGCAGTGTTAAATCAGAGCTTTCGAATTGCCTTTCTATCAGTGTATGACACAGGTATTTGGTATTGTTGGAAAAATAGTAAATAATCGAATAAAATTGGTGTCAATTATAATAAATTATACACTTGGTGAGTAGACTTAATTTTTAATTTAAAGTTACATTCATCTAATTATATCTATTTGTATTAGTGATTCAAAGTATATCAAAAGTGTGGGTCCCATAGCCATAGCTAAGAAAAAGTTAGCATCATTGAACGAAATTTGGACCCTCATACTTTAAACGAACGGGTGTTGGGAAGATTACAGATGCTGCAGACTGAACCGCAGCGACGAGGTCCTTCCATCTGAATCGATATTGTTTTAATAGATGAACATCAATGGAGAGTTGTATCAGTGCACTGTATATGAAGGACACACCTTTGCAACCAACAATGGAGGCCTAGACGAGACTACAAAAGGGAATTAACAACTTACAAAACAACGAAGTTATTCGAGAAACCCTTCTAAATTTATAATAAATATATAAAAAAGGGTAATCAAGTATAAATGGAAACCAATAGGCATGGTTTGTGATTGAAGGTCAGTCCTGCTGGTATTGGGTGCCCCGCATTCCAATCAATCAACGCATGTGCTCCTCCCCTTTGAGACAGATTTTGCCGCCTGGAAGCGGCTGCGTATTGCGTCCACCGCCAACTCTTTTTTCTGTGGACTCTGAAGTCATCATAAATATGATTCTCCTTTTTCATACAACTTTAGAAAGTAGTCCCTTAGCCCCCGTGATTATCCTTCCCATGGTAAATGATCATTTCCTTGTGTTACACGTTCACAAAATGATACCAGATTAGGTAAATAAAATTTAGCACCCAACATGTGGTATATCTCCAAACCCTTTCTTAATTGTCAATATCTAAATAAAGTTTTTTTTGGATAGGTAAGATTTTATTATCCAAATAAGAGTTCTTTACAAAAAAAATCCCATTCAAGGATCAAAGACAAACTATATACAACAAAAATGGTTAGCCTATACTCCAATTGTTACAAAGAAGCATATTAAAATTGTCAGGTCTATTGAGGTCTCTATTCCTAAGTTGAGCACCAACTATTTCTTTAATAGAACCAAGCAAATCTTCAACAGTTCGAGTCTTTCCTTGAAATATGCGTCTATTTCTCTCCTCCCAAATTTTGTAAATGAAAGCACACCAAGCAATCTTCGCGATGGAAGTTAGGAGAGATTTACCTTTTCAAGTAGAAGAAGCCCAAGCAAGCTTGTTCTCCCATGACATTTGAGGTATGGATAAGTGACAAAGATTTAAAATACCATTCCAAATAGAAGTAACTATAGTGCAGTTAACAAATAAATGGTTTCTCGTTTCAAGGGCGTTATTGCGAAGGATACAATAACTAGCAGTGGTGATTCCCATTCGTAAGAGTCTTTCCCTTGTAGGGAGCCGATCAAGGATTGCTAGCCAAGTAATAATACTGAATTTTGGGATGTGAAGGGGAAACCAAATAAGCTTATGCCAAGGAACTTTGTCATGCTTGATTCGAATCTCTTCCCAGATCTCTTTTGCATTCGTAACTCCTGCATTAAGAATGGGGATGGCCTCAGTTTTCAGTTTCAAAAGTCTATTGAAGGTGTAACTTGAGGAAGCACTTGTAGACATCTGATTAAAGTCTTTAGATTTGATCACATAGGTATGAGTCCATGCAATCCACAAGGATCCTTGACCAGCAAGAAGGTTTCGAATGAGTTGCATCATGCAGACCTTGTTCCAAGATTTTAAATCTTTTAATCCTAGCCCTCCTTCATATTTAGGACTGCAGATCATTCCCCAACTTACTCTTGCACCAGAGGCTGATGAGTCAGAGCCTTTCCATAAGTATCTTGAGCAAAGCTGATTGATTCTATTAATAACAGCTTGGGGAAGCAAGAATTGTCTACACCAGAAATTTACAATATTTTGTAAAACAGTTTTGATAAGTTCTAACCTTCCAGCATAGCTTAAATGCTTTCCAGATCATTGGTGGATCCTTGATCTGATATTGTCAATAAGAGATGAGCAATCCTTAGCAGTAAGTTTCCGAGGAATAAGTGGAACCCCAAGATATCTCACTGACAGAAGACCAAACTTGAAACCAGTAGAGATATTAATGAATCAAGGTTCCTAGGAGAAATTCCTACTGCAAAAATTTCAGATTTGGCCACATTAAGTTGAAATCCTGAGATTTCCTAGAATTTATTAAGAACATAAATAACTCCAGCAATAGATTCCAAATTTCCCTTACAAAAAATAAGAAGGTCATCTGCAAAAGTAAGATGGGTGAGACCAATTTTTTTGCATTTTGGGTGATACCCGAATAAACCTCTGGCAACAACAAGATTAAGGAGCTTTGAGAGAATGTTCATTGCTAGAACAAAAAGAATGGGAGATAATGGATCTCCTTGCCTTAAACCTCTTTCCCCTTTGAAATAGCTAATTAAAGAACCATTGAATAAGATTGAATATCTAGCTTCGGAGTAACAAGCTTCTATCCAAGCAATGAATTTATGAGGCAGTTCAATGGCTTTGAGAATAGAAGAAATGAATCCACAGTCAAGAGAGTAAAATGCTTTTTGAAGGTCAATCTTGATAGCACACCTTGGAGAAATGGATTTTTTTCCATAGCCTTTAACTAGGTCTTGGGCTAGAAGAGTATTGTCAATAATATTTCTACCCTTAACAAAGGTTGTTTGATTAAGAGTAATTATTTTAGGAAGCATATTTGTCAGCCTTTTAACAAGAATCTTAGTAATTGCCTTATAGACCACAGAGTAACAGGAGATGGGTCTATAATCTTTTACCTTGCTATGATTAGTGATCTTAGGGACAAGGGCAATAATGGTTGAGTTAAAAGCTGGTAAAATGAAAGAGTTATGGAAGAAGTATTTTACAACTTTTATCACATCCTCACCAACCATTGACCAGGTTGATTTAAAGAAGAATGGGGTGTAACCATCAGAGCCAGGTGCTTTATCATTTCCTTGACTGAAGAAAGCATTTTTAATCTCCTCATCAGTGATGTTTTTATCTAAATCTGCTAAAGCTTCAGAAGACAGATTAAGTTAGAGCAGATTTTTTAGAACTTTAGGATCAATACTTTTAACATTCGGATCAGCATTGCCCAGCTAGTTTTTTTAAAAATTTGAATTACTTCTGAGGCCATGTAATCAAAATCTTCAAGTCTGCTGCCTTGATCATTCACTAGGACTCTTATTGTATCTCTCTTATTTTTTGAAGCAATGATAGAGTGAAAGAATTTAGAGCATTTGTCACCCTCCTTGATCCATTGAATTTTAGCCTTCTGTTTTAAGAACAAAATTTCAGCTTGTTCTATAGAAGCGAACTCACTCTGAATAATAAGCTTAGATTCAATATAAGAAGTTATGTTGAGAGTAGAGAGCTGAATTTGTTCAAGCTCAGTTTTCTTTTGCTTGACCCTAGCAGAAATATTACTGTAACAATCCTTGTTTAAATTCCTCAAGCAAGTCTTAAGATTCTTTAGTTTTAGGAAAAAATACATCATTGGATTTCCTTGCATTGATTGTTGCCAAGAGCTTTGAATTTCAGGCAGGAAATTAGGGTGTTTGGTCCAGAAGTTAAAAAATTTGAAAGGTTTGGGGCGATTAGTATGGGGATCTTTGTTAAGCCAAACAAGAGCCATACAATTCTCAGAGGGCCATGGAGCAAGAAATTCCACAAAGGAATTATGAAAGGAGCTGACGTAATAAGAATTGACAAGAACTTTGTCAAGTTTTCTAGCAAGGTAAGATTTTTTTTGTTTATTGATCCATGTGAAGGTTGGTTCAAAGAAAGGATGATCTTGAAGGAGAAGATCTTGGATAGTGTCTTGGAAATCTTTCATTTCATTGGAAGTGTAAGAACCCAGGATGTAACGGTCAGAACTTTCAAAAGAATGGAGAAAGATATTAAAATCACCCTCTAAGATCCAGGGAAATGATCCAATATTAGAGTCAATGTCTTTTAAGTGTTACCAAAGTTGTTTTCTTTGTGAACCATCATTGTAACCATAAATAGCTGAGATAAAAAAAGGGACACCATTTCTAAGACCTTTAACAGTGATACTTTGGGCAGTAGCTTGGCAGAATGATAAATCCAAGCCTTTTTTCCAAAGGAACCAAATCCTACCATTTGAAGCATAGTCATAGTTTGTGTAGTAGTTCCAGTTACTGAATTTGAGTTTTATATTGTCTTCAAAATTTTTAGGTTTAACCCTGGTCTCTAATAGACAAAGAACATCAACCTTGTAGAGAATAGCCCTGTGCAAAACTTTATTCTGTTTTTAAGGATTATTTAATCCTTTGACATTCCAGAAGCAGAAAATCATTGAGATAAAGAGGTTGATTCACCCCAATAACTTTTTCAGAGACACATTTAGATTTGTCTAGGTGTTCCTTTTTTTTTTGAATTTCAAGTCTTTGATTAATAAAGCCACTCCCAAAGCAGCAGATTGGGGCTTTTTGCTATGATTTTCTAAGGAGTGAGAAGTTTCATCAACTGTACTTAAGACCTCAAATATGTTTGAGGATCCTTTTAATGATGTATTATTTTTTATTTTTACAGGTCGAACTCTTTCTCTTTTAGGAACGTTAGGAGCTTTAATAACATTTCCAAGAAGAGAATTATCATGTCCTTCAACAGAAGATTCAGTGTGAGGGAAAGGAGGTTTTGAAGTATTACAGACCTCAATTGAATCAGGAAATGGTTTAGGTGAATCATTAATGGCAGTAGGTTTAGAGATAGTAGAAACAATTTGAGGTATAGAAGATTTTGAAGTATTGCATACTTCATTAGAATCAGGAAAAGTTAGAGGTTGATCATTCTTGGCAGTAGAATCAGAGGGTGTCATTGAAGAGCTAGCTGTTACTTTAGTAGATTCTTTTTCTTTTAATGGATTCTCATTCTTTGTAAGAGAATTAAAAGACAAAGGAACTTGGTAAGAATCTGAATTACCAGGAAGATCAGGTTGCACAACAGGGAGTGATTCTCCTTTTTTCCTCCAAATTTGTAAATTAGCAGGAGGTGAAACTTTAGAAGCAAGGCAGTCATTCTCAGTATGACCAAACTTGTTACATTTTTTACAGTTATGTGGAAGCCAAAGAACTTCGACAAAAACAATAGTTGTTTGGCCATTTCCAAGAATTACTTCTATAGAATTAGGGATTTCATCTATCAGTCCAACCTCAACATAAATTTTAGCAAACTCTAATCTTGATTTAGAGTCAGTGACAGAGTCCATGGTTAGTAGGTTTCCTATGGCACTAGCTATGTAGCTAAGGCCCTCCATCGAAAACAGTTCGAGAAGTACATTGAAGAGATGTACCCACAGAGGAATTTTGGAAAGATTGAATTGAAGTCTTTTAGTGTTATACTCCCATTTCCTTAGGATTAGTGGCTTATTCAAGATATACCATGGACTATTATGCAGCACCCAATCCCTCTCAGAATCACTATTGAATGAAAAAATGTAAAGATTGTTGCCTGCGAAGCTTACCTGGACTCGAACGCCTTTTGAATGGTTATTCCACAGATTCTCGACCATCCTTTACATTGTTGTAAAATTGGGAGCAGCACCCAGAAATTGGCCTACCAATGAAGATCTCCATTCAGCAATTCCTACTTCGAAAACTTCTGGTGGAGGCTGGATAATAGGGTTTAAGTCACGAGATTTAGGGGCAAAATATTGTAGCTCTTGTCCAGATTAACATCCAAATAGCTTTCTCCAGTCCATTGAAGTGGAGAGAAGCATCACCGAAATGAGGAGAGAACCAGAAGAAACGAGAAAGATCACCGAAGACACACCGGAGTCTCAGTTCCGTTAGTCCTGCTAACGTACGCCTAGAGAAACCAGCTAACATGCGCTTTGAATAAATATTTTCTAAATAAACTTGTATCTTACTATTATTTTAATATTTAAACTTTTTAGAGTATAATTTGATTATTGAACAAGTTATGTATCTTACTATTAAATTAATAGTTAAATATATTATTTTTAAATATTTTGTTATAAAAAGGTTTTGTGTATTTAAAAATATTTTATTTTATCAATAACAAGTTAGTCTAACAAGATGAAACATAAAATTTCTTAAGTAACTTTAAAAGTTCAAATTGTTAAGTTTACGGATGGAAATAAATTGTGTTGAGAAGATTACCTCTATATTAAACTTATGTAATACTCAATTTAAAATTAATAGATTAATATATCAAATATCGGTGATTATATAAAAATATATATTTTTTATCGTAACAAATTAAATTATTTAAAAATATTATTTGAATTTTAAAATTTAAATTGAACTAATATTTAAAATAATTTAGAATTTAAATTATTGAAATATTAAATTAATAATTAAATATATTTATAAAGTTTAAAACATTATTTAATGGTGTCAGTTATAATAAATTGAGAGCATCGACCATGAATCCACGTGGACGTCTAATTCTGTCATGACCAACTAACCTTTTACTTTTCTTTTTGAGTTTTTTTGGTTGCTGTGGAATCGAAGGCAAATAAAGGAAAAGACGAAGGTAAAACTCGAAACAGAGTTTTGCTTGCTTTACTTCTCTGGATCGATGACAGTTTTGTGCGAGTGTTTGTTTGCTTGTTTTATATGATTCTTTGTTTTGGATCTCATCTTTCATTCGAATCATAACTTGTTTTCCAACATAAACCAGATTCACTTGTCTTTGCTTTTAGGGTTTTTATATATTTGAATAGATCGACTCACTGTGTTTGCTTCTTTTCCCCATCCTTGATTTAGAATATCACTGTTTCTCTTTTGCTTGTTCTGGGGTTTATTCTCGCCTTTCCCTTTTTTTTTCAGAAGCCCCACGCTCTTTGCTTTTGCATTGTCATTTATAAATTTATAAAAAGATAAAATAATCTCATTGACCAAAAATCCCATATAATATACGATTTTAACTAACTTTTTCCGGATTTACCAAAATGACCAACAAAATCGCAATGCGATCGCTAATTCGCAACACGATCTCCATTATCGCAAATTCGCGTTGCATTTTCGCAATGCGATAGTTGAAAATCGCGTTGCGATGGTCTACAGTGTCGTTGCGATTTTCCCAATTCGCAATGCGAATAAGTAAATCGCAACGCGAATTGGGAAAATCGCAATGCGAATAAGTAAATCGCAACGCGAATTGGGAAAATCGCAATGCGATACTGACTATCGCAATGCGATAATACAAAATCGCAACGAGATACTTACTTTCGCAACGCGATACTGACTTTCTCAACGCGATTCTGACTTTCGCAACGCGATAATACATAATCGCAATGCGATTTTCAAAGCGCCATTAGTATCCTGGCCAAGTATTTTATTTTTAAATTCCAAACACGAATATTAATATATTGAAACACTGAACCGTCCACAGTATATCCCGTAATCGCAACTCATAACCTAAAACCTAAAATCACAACTCAGTCTCATCTCCATCTCTCACTCTCTCACCCATCTCCGACGAAATCCGTCCCCATCTCCGGCGAAATCCGTCTATCTCCATCTCTCAGAGTCACCCTCACAATCAGAAATGAAAAATCAACCAAATCAACCAACGAGGGTTAGTTTTTTTAATTATTTTATTTTTGAAATTTTTGCATTATTATTAGGTTTTTCATATTGAAATTGATGATAAGTTTACTGGTAATTTCAATAATAGATTAACCATTTCACTTAGATTGCTTATTAAATCAACCGAGAATCGCAACGCGAAATGAAAATCGCAACGCGATTTTAGTTTCGCTTTGCGATTCTCTCGTTGCGATAGTCATTTTCGTGTTGCGATTTTCATTTTCAGAAGCTATTCTTCTTCTGCAAATTGAAACTTGAATGAATTGCATTACTTCAACAAAAAAACAAAGACAAATAAGAAATTCACAGTGTTGCAAATTTAAGTTTGAAGAATAAACTACTACTCTTTATGTTTATTATTGTTTTTGGTATATCTTCACAGTGTAGTTTTTGGTATATCTAACTTAGTATGTTTATTGTTTTTGTAGAACTTTTATTCGGCTCAATTAACCTTAAGAAATAAAGTCAGCCTGGCCAAAACAATTGCGTCGAAGCTTTCACCTGCACAAAGAAAAATGTTTGAGGATACTTGCTTCGGGCCATGGCTGAAAGTACAACATCCCGGTGGAGATGCGATGTTGACACACCTATTTCTTCAAACCATGACTAGGGATCTACCAGATACTATACAATGTCGTGATGAAGAGATATGGTTTGATTTTCCACCGGCGTATACGTGTTTTGGGCGGGAGGAGTTTTGCTTAATCACCGGTCTACGCTTCGGACACGATGATGCAGGTCGGTACACTAGACACATTACCCGCCCATCATGGTTATCCCGGGTTTTTCCTGAGCTGGAGAGGCCGAATCTACACGTGGAAGACCTGACGATATTATTGAATAAGAAAGATGGTTTTACTCGGATGGATGACGTCAACGTTGTCCGAGTATACCTTCTAATTCTTTTGCATGCCGGCTTTTTAGGCAGAGAGGCCAGACAACCTATTCCAAATGATCTAATCAAATTGGTAGAAGACCTAAATGCGTGGAACCTGTTTCCGTGGGGCTCGTATTTATGGAAAGCGACATGGAATAAGTTATCGTTTGCCTTGTATGATCGAAAAAGTTTGCATGGCGATGGTTCCAAATACACTTTGACAGGCTTTATTTGGGCCTTTAAGGTAAGAATTTTTATATAATGTTTCCAAAATTATAAGTAATTATTTAACAATTACTAATGTTTGTTATTATATTGTTTGTAGATTTGGATATTTGAGGCATTTCCCGCCATGAAGACATATGCAATAAAAACTTCAAATAATATTCCCAGGGCTATTTCCTGGAAGAGGAAACGAACCTTGCAATGGGAAGATTTACTATGGTATACGACAATAAATAATGTAAGTTAACATAAATACTACCATATGTTTATAAACAAGTTATTACTAGTACACGTTTAACTTTGTTTGAGCTTTTATATTGTTAGGAGGCCAACACTCCTCTACAGAGGCTGACACCCACGGAAGCTGAGCTTGCCACTAATTGGTGGCAAGCTAGTAAGCGTTTTTTTGATGGAACGGTTGATGAGCAGCCTCCACTTCGGGAGCCATCACCTCGCCCAGAGCTATCACCTCACCCAGAGCCATCATCTGATCGACCCGGCTATACACCTCCACAACGACAGCCATCACCTATTATGTCACATCATCGAGCCTCTTCTCTACCATCACCGCAAGATAGGCGACCGGCAAAGATGCCACGACGTTTATCTCCCTGTTCTCCACCTCTACCTCAACGGGATGAGTTAGGGGAGTTACGTGATGAGGTCAATGCCTTGCGTGAGGAGGTCGGTACTTTACGCAAAGACGATGGTGCATGGCGTGTTGAGGTGTCTACATTACGCGGTGAGGTAGCCGCTCTACGTGAGATGGTAGCATCGTTGCAGAATGAGGTTCATACTCTACGTAACGAGGTAAGTTTAAGATTTTTCATACTCGTAATTCATTCAGTTGCTGCCAATACTGCTAAACTGTTTTTGTTAGTATTTGTTTTTGGTTTTGTTTTTGTCTTTTGGTTGAAGTAATGCAATCCATTCAAGTTTCAATTTGCAGAAGAAGAATAGTTTACTTTCGCAACACGAAAATGACTATCGCAACGTGGAAATGGCTATCGCAATGCGAAATGAAAATCGCAACGACAAAATCGGAATGCGAAATGAAATCGCAACGCGAAATGAAAATCGCAATGCGATTTGTGTTTCGCGTTGCGATTTTGTCGTTGCGATTTCATTTCGCGTTGCGATTTTGTCGTTGCGATTTTCATTTCGCATTGCGATAGCCATTTCCGCGTTGCGACGATTTTCATTTCGCGTTGCGATTTTGTCGTTGCGATTTCATTTCGCATTGCGATTTTGTCGTTGCGATTTTCATTTCGCATTGCGATAGCCATTTCCGCGTTGCGATAGTCATTTTCGCGTTGCGATTTTAAGTTTCGTGTTGCAAAAGTAAACTATTCTTCTTCTGGAACGTTTATATATGTTGTCTTTTTAAATGTTTATATAAGTGCTTACTTCTGGAATGTTATCTGAGCATTTTGTGAACTATGATAGAATAATGACTTGGGTGAATACAATGCTAGTTTGAAACATATTTGTCTTTGTTTAATATCATGTCTGTTTATTTACTGATTTATGTATTAATTTTGTTTAGCGGCCCGATAAGGTGGATGCTTTACGTCGGGTTTTCCTTGCACGACGGAGTTCACACATCAGACGGCGTGGACGTGCTATTACGTCTCCGTTCACCCCAATGGTGCGAAGACTCCGCAAGAAGAAGCCCGACTCACCGATCATCCCTCAAGAGTCCCCTCCAATCGTTCAAGAGGCCCCTATTCTCCCTCAAGATTCCCCCCACCGTTCAAGAGGCCACTGTCATCGTTGAAGAGGTCCCTCCCACCATTCCAGAGCCCGATTCACATGGGGTAATATATCGAAGTATTGAGAAACCCCCACCGGTTC